CCGCAGGGCCTCTTTCAGGTCTCCAGTCTGAGCGGTCACTCGGCCAATCTCATGCAAAATGACTGCAATGTCTGGGTGGTCACCGTCACCGTGCAAGGACCGCTTCATTCGCAGAGACTCTTTGAGGTAATGCAGGGCCTCTTTCAGGTCTCCAGTCTGAGCGGTCACATCGCCAAGCTCATGCAAAGTGGCTGCAACTCCTGGGTGGTCACCGTCACCGTGCAAAGACCGCTTCATTCGCAAAGACTCTTTCAGGTATCGCAGGGCCTCTTTCAGGTCTCCAGTCTGAGCTTTCGCTTGGCCAAGCTGATGCAGAGTGGCTGCATTCAAGGACGGGAAAGCTGACCGGCGCTGGGAAAGCAATGCCAACGGGATGCAACAGAAGATAAACTTACTCAGAACCCAGGGCAGTTCAGTGGAACTATCCAATGACCGCTGCAGTTGCAAAGACTCTTTCAGATGCTCAATGGCTTCCGCATGATGACCTTGACGCATTTTCGCCTGACCGAGTCTGGCCAAGATGAGTGCCAGTTCCTGGCTGTCCCCGGGCTGCCGAGCTCTTGCCTCAAGCAGCTCGTGCTCAAGCTCTTGCAGCTCCGCCAAGTCAGCTCCACCGGGCATCGACTCCGGCAGCGCCGAGTCTTCTGGACCCGCACCCCCTGTGTCCTCTGTGATGGTCCCTGGGAAATTGGGCGGCTGAGAGGGCCGAGTTCTGCTTCGAGTCTCACCAGTCACAGAAGAAGCTGATTCTGTTATGGAAGGAGGATGCATGGGCGGGTGCAGGATAATGGATGAAGAATGTACTAGACCTGAAAAACAACTGAAGCAGTCAAGAAAGCAAGAATAGATTATCGGATAAAAAGAAACAAGTCTCCGGACTCCAAACAAGTCAATATTGATGATATAAGAGCAATGTTACATAATGTTGCTATTTGTTTCCCTAGCAACAAACATGAAAAGGTTTTCTGAACTGCCGCCCAGCTGCCCGAGCCAAGTCTTGTCCGCAAGAACAGTTGCAGGAGATTCTCCACTTGTCGAGTGGCATGGGTGAAGGTACACGCAGCTTCCACATGAAAGTTTCGGCAGAATCGGATATCTCTGACGGCTTCCAGCTCTGCTCTGTCTTGCATGCTATGTAAATCTGCAAGATGCCTCCATCGACCACTTCGGTGCCCAAATAATTGTCTCGAGTCACTTCCAGGAGCTCCAGAATACCTTTGGCTTGGTCCCGAACCCAAAACATCAGTTCCCAGACTTCTTGTGCCTTGTTCTCCGCTTCGTCTTCCTGCAATTGTTCCAGAAGTCCGGTCAACATCCACCGAAGGTGGCTGGCGATCTCCACGAAAATCTCTTGAATTTCTCGAGATCTTTGTTGGAATAGCTTGTTGCATGCCTGATTGAGTGACCTGGCAAAGCAGGACAAACAATGGACTCGTGAATGCAGGATGAAGACGGTGTCCCAAGCGATAGGAGAGTTTGGGGACTAGCCAGCTTATATATATATATACATTTCATAATGGCATAATAATTGATATTTTAGATTTGTTCGTCATCAGACAAAATCACAACACACAACAACAGCCTCCTGGCAACTTTAGAGCCGCGACCCATTTGGGTAAAAAGCGTTGACTCGACCAAGAATGCGAGTAAAAGGACATGGAGACCAGGCATTTGAAACGCAGAGAAGTCAATTAATGGCTTAGGACCCGCGCCTGCAAACCCTGTGGAGCTGACTCAGCTGCTGCATTGGCAGCTTGTCAACCATGCGGGCCATGTGCGAAGGCCACAGCGCTTGCGTGGGAAGATCGGCAAAAGAAGCAGCCATGGCACCAGCTGCTTGCTGGTTCAAATGATACAAATGGAAGCAACAACATTAAAACGTCTCGATTCATTGTCTCCGAGCACGTCTGGAGAATGTGGAAGACATTGAACTTCAAATGATTTATAAGATGGACTTGACATTTTTGGGAAATATATTCATGCCAATCCTACCCAATTCTCATGTTCGTCGTCCAGTTGGCCCTAGAGTGGCCTTTATCAACCTTGCAGCAGGCAGTGGAACATGCACAGCCAGAAGTTGCATGAGTGATCCCTTGCAAAGCCCGAATTACTCGTTCAATCAACACATTGCCACATGCGTTGCTATCAACAAAAATCATCGAGAAACCAAATCCCTTTAGACTCCCTACCAAACAAGAAAATCCAAAAGCACACCACAAACCCGCATTATCCGCATTCTTCCATACGTTTCTATGACAAAATATCGCACACGCACACAAGAGAGCACGAGCACGAGCACGTAAATCCGAGGCCTCAAGGTAGTCTTCCGTGAAGACATCATTCTCACCACCCTGAAAGTGCTGCAAAGGTTTCCGAACCAATGGCGAGAACCGGCGCTCCGCATCCAAGAACCACAACTACAACGTAACAGGGCTAGGCTATAGACGGAGACCTTTCAGCCCATTCTCCCTAATCTAACGTTGTTGCAGGAGGCCTTTGAACACATGGTTTCAGTTGGTTTCCACCTACCATTTTCACCCCTGCGGTTTCGCCTAAGACAGACCTTCGAGACTCTGTTCCATCAGCTTCACGCTCGTGCGACTCAAATGTGGTCGTCTACGTCACCTTGCAGCTGGTCGCAAGTTTCGGAAACATCCCGAGGTGCCGGAACCTTCCCAAGGTCTTCAGACAGATCTTCACTTGGAATCACCTGTGGGAGCAGGTGCCCAAGCCCAATTTAGCCGTGGCTCACCCACTTGCAGATATACACCAACTATTGACCCATTGGCTAATACCCTGGTGCGAGATACAATTCCTGTAAGTAAGTGAAGGAGCACTCGAAAACTCAAACGTGAACAACATGTTGTGGAACACTTCAATGAGACCGTTCACTGCCAATCAAAAGGTGGCCTCAAAGTGATCCACCAATGGGCCGTTGAAATAAGCATTCCCTGTCCACTGCGCCAGGCAGCCGGGCATCGTTCGAGATCAGTGCCTGGGAAAGCTCGCATGGCATGGAGGGCGTTCCGAAACTCAGCAGCTGCGCTGAGGTTATTGGGGTTTCCATTTTGGGGGGGTGGGTGACCTGCCAAAGCAAGAGGACCAGGGGTGGCTGGGAAGGGTGACGCGCTTAAAAAGAGAAACCATGGCGCAGCTGGGTCAATCAAGACTTCTTGTAGCGGAAAGGCACGCCAAATGGGCTCCGGTTTCTCATATGAGTTGTTTTACACACTCTTCTGAACCCACATGCACGCAGATCCATTTGTAAAAAGCTCTGTCACTTGCTTTGATGTGTGTAGTGTGACAACAATTTTCAAAAACAGGATTGTTTCTTGCAAAACAACACCAGACACATCAGGCCATTGACCCGGGGGAATATTCAAGAAACTGGACCGCTCAAGCGTGTTTAGCTTGCTGAACAGTTCTAACGACACCTTATTGTTTTCGATGTTAGTCTTTACATGTCTTTACTAAGGGCAACAATAACATCAGTACTATAAAATACTATAGATTACTATATAGTATAGACTATCATGATCAAACACGCGCTTGCATTGGGGCAATGAGTGAGAGAGAGAGAGACTTCACAAGAATGCAGTGCTTGGAAAGGCTGAAAGAAGCTCCGTGGCCAAGGCTCCGTGACCGCAGCTCCACAGTGGGTCACAACCAGCTGAAACAAATCGAACATATAATGTAGCTATGTTCCAGTCGTAGCTGCAGAATGCATGTGACATGTGCGGTTTCAGTCTGTTTGGTTCTTTCTGAGTTCGGTTGGACTAACACATCAAAGCCTGTCCTATAAGATATGTTTCTGTATTCCACATGTGTCTCTGAGCCCCTGGTGCATCGACACAGGTAGCTTATTACAGCAAGAATGCCCACTTCCGAGCCCAACCAAACCCGAGTGAATCAACCCACCTTTCCACCCGCAATTCCAATCCAAGCGGCCGAGCTCGGCAGAAACTGCTTGCGTCACCGGGCCCAAATGGCTAGCTACATCAGTTCGATGCACCAGGCTGAGCCCAAAACCAACGTCCGATCCTTCTAGTGTCGCAGCCAACTTTGTGGCACCCACCACCTGCAGTATTTGCCACATAGATATTGTTCGGAGACTGGACGAGATGTTAGTTCTATTTTTTTAACCGCCACTACCTTCATGATTCATACCAAGAATCATTGTCAGGTATTGTTAGGAGGATTGAACAGTAAGAGGTTGACCCTTCTACGAGGACAAGCACCGTCAAAGCTGATAGACCAATCAATGCTCAAGAATCCATGCTTCTGCTGAGATATACATTATATAGGCATTCAATGAACTGGACATCTCTCCATCCCCGCCATACCTGCCGGGCACACCACACGCGTCTTTCTTCACTCTGGGGGTTTGGCTCGGTGCTTCCAGCGGCGTCGGCCGAAGACTTTGCGGGCGATCGCCGCTGCAGCGCGGAGAGAGGTTTTTTGGCCTAGCTACTTCACGAGACCTGGAGTCCAAGAGCAGTTTGTTTGTTGAAGGGTGGTTGTCATATTCATCATCTGTGTGCTATGTGTCATCTTTCTTCAATGAATTGAGTCGCAGCACATCCACTTGATAAACGTTATAGCACTTACGCAGTAATTGTTGAACAATTGTTGTGTTCGTTAACTCAGCCTTTGTGTCTCAAACCAAAGCCAGCCACCAAAAGTCATCCAGACTTGGAAACTCTTTATAAATGTTGATCGTCTCGAATCGGAGAAAGCACCTGTCTGATCAGTTTTGCGGAGCCAGTTTCCTGGTGGTTGGCAAACTGTTCACCTCCTTTACAAAAGCTATCATGACATGAATGAATAGAAGTGGTTGGTGGTGTCAACTCACTCGATTAAAGTACTAGTAGGCGTCGGCGGGTTCTCAATCATTCCAACTATATAAAGGTTACGGTTGAATAGTGTTGTTGACAACTATCACCGAGGTTGAAAAAACAACTGATGAGTCACAGGAAGCCGCTTCGAGTCGAATCAGAAGAGCAAACATATCATTTGTCGAAGGAACGAACCCATCAGATGCTGCCATACCAAGAACCCATCAGATGCTCCACACATCTAGTAGAATTCCCATGAATGCTCACTCTCCATAACCAATCCCTATGCTCTCCACATATAGGGAAAGTATATATAGAAATCCATTGGGTGAGAAAAACAACACAACAAACTCTTGCAACACAACTCTCTCATAAGGAGGAAGGAATCCCTATACACTCTCCATATATAGGGAAAACATGGGAAAACATTATGGAAATCCAGATAGAAAAAAATAACACATCTCCATAGGGACACCCATCTTCTCAGACTCCAAAGGTCACTCGATGGTCCCGTGCGAATCTCGCCGCATCGTGTGGCGGGCTTCACCCGCCACATCCACGGGCGTGCTGCGTGGCTCTTTTTCTGCGCCAGGGCCGAGGTATTCATGGAGATAGATCTGCATGTGTGCCAAATGGGTGGACATGAGGGGATGCGGGCGGGTTCCAATTCACAAGCATTCGTTGTAACCCGGAACAAGTGGAGGTTTTTGGTTTGTTGGAGGATACATCGGTGCATGTTTTATTGGAATGGACATTCCTCTGAAGGGGGTCGGTAAATTTACTAGTCTTTTGCACATGACAAACGCATCGAGCAATTTGATCCAATGTTTGTCATCTCATGCACCACCGCAAGACAGAATCTCTCCTTCATCCACCCTAGAGGGATCATACATTATAAACTAAACATCAAACAATGATGACCACGGCATCTGGCTGTGAAACGGCTCATTAGCGCCTGCGGTTCGCGAATTCCCATGTGCTCTAACTGCTTCCTCAACATGCACAGACAGGGTCTGCTCAGAAGCTAGTTGGGAAGACAAATCTTTATGTGGAATGGATATATAATCATGGATGGTACAAAACGCAAGAGATGCAAGGTGTATGACGACCCCATGCCTGTACCATCCTTTAATCTGTGGGGAACATTTAAAATTCAATGTGTTTCTGCGCAAAATGGCTGAATTTCTCTGATTGCAACTTGGATTCTTGCCCTCCACCCAACCTGCACCCGGGATGATAAAATCCAAAGGGTTACATCTTGACGGTTTCCACACTGTTAACAAGAGCATTGATAGAAACTTAAATATAGCGTCTGTTGAACCGTTTCACAAGTATTCCTTGGATTTGAGCGTACTGTTAGTACTGCTTCTGTCAAAAGTTTGCAACCTATACCAATCCAAGACTCTCAATATATGTCCAAGAAGGGTCCCCCATAAAGCAGCCTTCGACCCTCTCTGCACATCTGCCTATCTGACTCCGCCAATCTCCGCCACGGTCACAGGGTGGCATCCCCCAAGGGCCATGAAAGAAGGTCTCAACACACAAATTTTATGACACATGCAGTACATAAAAAAGGCACGTAAAATCATGTAAAAGCAACAAGGCGCGCTTCATTCATCCGACTTCGCCCTTAACTACCTGGAGAGCCACCCTGAACAATCGCCTCTCTTCACGTCCCAGCTCGCTCACCACATCAGCAGAAGCACCCAGCTGCACAGTCCCAACACGGCGGCTCGCGGAGCCGTGCCGGTCACCGGCGTCTTGTTTCCCGCGTTGGTGGTGCTCGGCCGCGGGATGTCGATGCCCCCGGTGCTGTCGATCAGCTCCACCACCTGACAGGAGAAATCTGTTGAAGCGAAGGCACTGGAGGAGGGATGTCTTCCAACAGTTGTATCCAAAGTACTGACCACCAAGTCGTCACCAAGTGATGTCAAGATGGTTTCCAACAGTTCAGTCACTTGATGATTTTGGACAATTGAGATTCAGTCAC